ACAACTTCAATATAGCATCAAGAACAGTTTTGTATAAGTTATTCAAAGTATTAGAGACATGCTCATATTCACCCAAAGATTTAAGACTTGCATCCTTATTTTCAAATGAATATTTCTCGATCAACCTGTTCAAGGCAGCCCTCGCATCCGAGGGAGAACTCATGACTAGGAGGCAGCTGTTAACACCAATAAGCCAAAATATTTACTGAATACCAAACTAATAATATTTTTTATAAATAATATTTCCCAAAGCCTACAGTGGGTAAACATTGTTATGGTTTTCTTTTTTCGTACTTGGGAATAAAGGCGCACTCGTCGGAATGTACATCGCGCACAGGTTTGTCCCCTCCTCCCATTTATATCTCTTTAGACTCGCTCTTAGCTCTCCTATGGGCAAATTTTGGACAATTAGAGCTCCTTATTTGCTCCAAAATGGTTTCATTTCGCTGAACACTCCTAAAATGCTTAAAGGAAGTACAAGTGAACAAGTCAGGAATCAAGCACAACAGGAGATGCAAGATTTTTGGGAGCGTAATATCAAGGCAAGCCGTCCTCGAGCTCCACATCTCTCAATTTATAAACCCCCTCTTGTTATGAATTTGTCTCTTATGCATAGAGCTACCGGGATTGCTATGGGAATAGGTGGGTTGTTGAGGTCCTCTTCACTTATGTATTTTCGCAATCTTATACATACTCATTTTCCCTTGTTCCTTTTTAATAAAGCTTGGGCTGGAATTGGATGCTCTGCCTATTTATTCACCGGACATTATGATGAGGCTCTGAATTTCATTAAGGAATTCCAAATGGGTGACCTCACTCTCGGCGTGGTGAAGTTTATCCTCTGTTACCCTCTAGTATACCATTATTTGAATGGTATGAGGCATTTGGTAAGCTTACAAATTGTTTTCATGCATGCTTTTTTCCTATACTGCATACTTCTGCTTAAAATAAGATTAAGTAGATTATCCAGACAGCCTTATTAAATACGAATGCTTTTTAATAGCAGAGGATTCTGTTGTTATGTGAGTAAAGATTTCCTCAACCAACGATTAAAATTCTCTGCACTCTTTAAAAAAAACAAGTATTTGGGTTTATGCTACCGATTTGTATGTACATTCAGTAACTAAGTTCTTTGTTTAATTTTTTTACCTTCGTTCAGGCTTGGGACTATGCCATTGGATTCAAAATGAGTACAATCTATAAAACCGGTTATGGAGCAATTATATCATCTTTGGTAGTTGCGGGTCTTCTGGCCTCGTTGAAATTATAATGCAAACTTACCTTTCTTTATTAGGCAAATAGATGTTTTTCCTACAAACCCGCCTCTTTGACTTGCGTTCTCGTTGTTTTCCATTTCATTAGAAAAATCGAGGGTTTAACTAATTGCGCTTCACGATTTGCTTAATAGTGCATCCTGACGGATAATTTAATCTGCCATTAAGGGCCTATACACTGATAGGCCTAGGGCATAGCATATTATCTCTCATGTCGCGATCCTCTACTTTCTTGTGAGATATCCTCTTACTCTGGCTTGTGACTCACGCAAATATCCACTTTCAAATAAATTGAATCTACCATATTTTATTTAAAGGGCTTCGAGTTACTAAATACACCCAATGTTTTGGTCGGTCGAAGGGCTTACATGAATTGAGAGATTATATGCGAATCCCTGCGCATTCTTGATATCCATGTGGTTCCCTATTAATTGATGAATGCCTTTAATAATTTTCACTAAATATTAACAGATTCAATGATACGTACTAAAAGCCAACTTAGTCTCCTAAAATAATGAGCGATCTTAATCTGCTGGGCATATCACAGGGATGACACATCACGCGGGTAACAAACTATTTAATGTCATGGTCCCCAGCATATGACTGGACTACACATTCTCAAACGTTTCGCCGACATCACCACTGAGCTTTGTCATTATCCACACCAAACTGTGAACTCGTCTGTAAATCGAAAGAAGACTGCAACCATACCAGAGGCCACAACATCTTAGTCTTCATATATTAAACTATTTAATGCTCTAGAAGTTGTTTAGCCTTGCGTTCGCAACTGTTTTACTTTTAAGAAGGCCCAGAGGGACTAATCATGTGCTAAGCCTATAGTTTGCATAATTTACAGAGCATGGAGTTTGTACATTCCCAGATGCTTAGTCGGCATTATAATTGATCCTTGTTACTCTTAGAACCACACTAACTAGTCGCAGAGACGAGCGAAGTCGACTGCTTGGTCAATTGTCTGTTAGGAAGTTATGGTATCCCTTCTGGCGTCCTGGCTATTCATCTATCTTATATCCCCGTAGCATCCCCTGCCTACCACAATTTCTTACTTGTTCATTTAAGCTTAGTTCAGGTGTGCCATTATAAAAAGATTTAGTATTTAAACTCCCCACTGCTTCCCTCATCCTCACCGTGCTGAGTACTGATCCGTCTGAATTCTCTCTACATGTCTCATTAGTCTCCATCTTACTCCTTAGGATCAATCTTATATCTCCCCGATTCAGTGATGTAACTCTATCATTGCTACCATATCCGTGCTAATCGAGGCGTTATCTTCCACACTCTTCTACAAGCCCTTGATAGCATGTATGCACCAGTCTCACTCAGCAAACCTCCGAAGACGCTGCGATTTCACTTTTCACTGTTTGGCATGTGCACCGAATGAATCTCGTGGTCAAACCTTTATTTCACCGATCATGTCTCAAA